TTTCTTTGCACAAGCTCTTGATGCAAGTTCTCTATTCTGTTGTTTGTGCAATTTTCTCCGCGCAGGTTCTCTGTGCAAGTTTCTCTGTGAGCAGGTTCTCTATGCACGTGCTCGATGACATATTTCTCGAAGTGTTTTGTTCTATGCACGTTCTCCGTGCAACCTTCTCAGTTTGCAGGTTCTCTATGCACGTTCTTTGTGCAGGTTTCTCTGCGGTGTACGTCTGTTTCAGGGCCGAACGGCCGAACGGTCGCTTCATTCTCTCCGAGAGAGCCCTGGGACTCGGTTGCCCGACCGTCTTGGAGCGAGGGCGAAGGGTGTAGTGCACTCGGTCGGTGAAAGCCACACAGGTTCCTCACTTTACGTGGCACGTTGGGTTTTCAGACCTGTCCGATCTGCAAATTTTTCACGCACGTCCGAGCATGTTTTCCGATCCAGGTCCTTTTAGAAGTCTTTCTTTGCAAGTTCTTTGCATGGGTGTCTCGATGCAATATCTTTACGCAATTTAGTTGTTCAAGTTTGTTTGCACGAGCTAGTCATGCAAGTTTATCTACGTGTGATCTCTTCGCACTTGCTCCACACGTGTTTCTATGCATTGTATCTATGTATAGTGTGTGGACACTCTTTATCTGCAAAGTTGTTTTTGCATAAGGTTTCTGTGCATGATTGGTTCTCTATGCAATTCCTCTTCTCCATACGCTCTCTCCGGCATGTTCTTCATGCAATGTAGTGCGAGAAATCCAGCAGAGAACCCTTCGCGATGCATTCTAAAAAAAAAAAAAACATCTAGAAGGTTCCCGACGAGATGCACGCAAACCAGCACCGTCGGGCCCCAGAAACATGTTTGTCGAACATGCAGCCGGCTGCAAGGTTACGTGTTTTCACTATGGACTTGCGTGGCGCGGTGGAATCCGGTGGAAAGCCCCGATTTCATTTGACCAGACTTGCAGTCTTGTCCCTGCCATCTTGTCTTTGAAATACTCGAACACATGCTCGCATTGGTTTGGCGCCGAGGCCCTGGAGAAATTCCCGGAGGAGAAGGCAGGAGGACTCCCCCCGTGACTCCGACCATTTGTCGCCGAGGAGCGCTTTGATGGCGCCAGCTCTGGCAAGCAGAAAGAAGGGCCACGGGTGGTGTGGCCATGTCTTCGAGGTGAGAGCGGAAACTCGATGAACTCGATGTCGGATTTGCCATTGCAATGCGCAAGGCGAGTCCTCTCGCTTGCTTTACCTTCTGGATCTCTACGCCGAGAAGTTTTCATGTCGATGTCCTGGTGTGCAAAATCCATGCCATGATGTTCGTTCTTCCCTTTGGAGCTATGGGGTTTTGCCGAGACTCTGCAATGTTCTCTCAGCCTGGGGTTTTAACTGTTGCCGAGGTCTTGCAGGGGACAGACAGCTGGGACAGCCTCCCTTCAATGAGGCAGCCAGCGTGGCACTGCGGCATTGCATGGAGAGAATCCCAGGCTGCAATCCTGATCCTCGAGGGGGAGATCTCTGTGTTGAGTCCGGAAGGCCTCGGAAGTTCGGGGGCACTTCGCTTCGCACGTTCGGAAGTTGCGGAAGTTGCGGAAGTTGCGGAAGCTCGGAACTGGCGGTTCGGAGGCAAAGAACTTGCAGTCCTCACAGCGGGCTGCTGCTGGAACGAGCGGGCCAGCGCCTCGAAGCTGGCTCTTTCCCCATGCCTATAGGCTCATTTCGGCTCATTTCGGCTCATTTCGGCTCATTTCGGCTCATTTCGGCTCATGGGGCTGGAGATGCTGGAGGCATGAGGCATTGAAACATGCGCTTGGCTTCAGATCCTGGCTGGAGCTCGAGCCAAGCAAAGTGAGCGACTCCTCCCCATGACCAATTGCGAGGCTCGGGCGACAGGTCCTCGGGAACATGCTACCGTTTAAGTCCTTGCCATAGCCGTCACATAGTACAGGAACTAACATGTACATCACATGGGCCTCACATGTATCCATTGAGTGCGCCAATGTTGGCTTGTCGTGTCGCGAGGTGCGCATTGTGAGTCGGGAGACCTGGGGCAAAGTCATGGCAGAGTTCCCCAGCGACCTGGGGAAGGTTCGGGCCACCATCCTGAAGTACATGGGCGAGCAGGCGCCATGCCGCAAGCCGCAAGCCGCAAGCTGGAGCAGTTCGTCGGAGTCAAAGCTTCGCAGGCCGAGAAGCGGCTGGGCTACGAGCCGGGCCACCCGAAAACCGAGAGCGACAGGTGTTTCGTTGGTGATCGTTGGTGTCTCAGGCCGGGGTCCTGCACGCTGCTGCGCGAGACCGCCTTCTTCTCGGCGGCTTTGCCCTCGGAGGAGCTGAGGCTCCGGGAGCTCTCCCTGCGGGAGTTCGTAATGGCTCGTAGCGCTCGTAGCGGGACTCGGACGTAACGAGGTGTCCTTGGACTTTGCCAAGCAGGCGCGAGCCATGGCGGAGACAAGGCCGGTGCCCGACCCTTTGCGCCTTGCCTTCCTCTCCTTCCTCTCGTATACTCGCTTTTATTCGTGCTCCTTTTGTTCTTTCCAGTCCTTGCCAACCTCGTCTTTGGTCGCCTTTGCTGTTCCAGGATCATTGAGCCTGGCTGCGACATTGTGTGTGGAGCTTGTCTTTTTGCACAGACTCAATAGCGCTTGTGGCTACTCGGCTCAAAGCTCAATCTGGGGCTCTTGAGGCCGGAAGCGCTGGTGACTGAGCACTTGCAGACCAAAGAGACCAAAGAGACCAAAGAGGCTGCGGTGGAGTTCCAGTTCATTGAAGGAGGGCCAGGTGGCCCAGGAGATGCCTCCCACGAGGGTAGTCAAGATGAAGGCGAAGGCGAATGCGATCTGGTCCAGGCGACGAATGCAATCAGCGGAATCGCAGTTCGGCACTTTGAGCCATGTCGATGATTGTTTCGATGTTTGATTTTTCCCCATTGGCCAGGAGCTGTACATATTCTTGCACGGGACTGCGACCTTATGCTGAGCAAGCCTCAGAGTCTGCCGCACTACGCATCGCCGTATTACATGCATGAAAGTGTCTCCGCATGGGCAAAGTGCTTTGCGCACAAACTCCATGCACATGCCGCTCTCTCTGTTTTGTTCCTTTATTGCGTACGTTTAGTACCCTGTGCCAGTGCACAGAAGGCGCTGTACACACTGAGGCATTATGCAGTGCACAAAGTACACAAATGTGCTGAAGCTTGTTGGAATGTGGCGCTATTCAACGAAGCAGTGCAGAATGTGTCTTCCTACAAGAGCATTGTTGCGAGGGAGTGGGTGATTTGACATGCTTTTGTGATTCTGAAAGGCATATCTCTCAGTGTGTTGAAATGTGCTGCTCTTTCGAGGCAGAGTGTTCTGAAAGGAATTGTTCTTCAGTTTGCAGTTTGTCCGAATACGATGTTTTGTTGTTTTTTGTGTTCTTCACCGAAAGGACCTAGCCCCTCAAACATTGTTGGATTCGGCTACTGCTCTTTTTCCGAGATAAGTCAGAGATCGCTGTGGACTTCGCCGTGTCCGTGTGACTTGCTCTGACACTAGAAAGGGGCAACGCTCAAACTACAAGTCCCCTTGTACTCCCCCAGAACTCGATAGCAAAACGGGAGTGTATCAGAATGTGTGTTCCCAAAGGACAGTTTATAGTAACCCACTTGCCTCAAGTTATGCCATTGACATGTGCACTTGACCATATGATTGTTGTGTATCGAGCAAGTGTTTTGTTCAAGCTAAATGTTTGGGAAACGTCACGCATTGCATCATTGCGTTCGGGTGCAGACATGTGAGTGAATGTGTCAAATCCTCTGGCGCTTTGGGCGCCGTTGCAACTCGGTATCGGTTTTCTCTTCAGGGAACTCAGGGCCCTGGATCTGGGCTAAGAAAAGGGTCTTTGTGCATCGGGGATTGAGGGCCAGGAGACATATGGGTTCAATGGTTCAGTGCAAAATCCTCGCCACTGCCGTGGTGCTGCCCACTCACAGGCAAGCCCTTGGGACGTGCATAAACCAGCTAAAAGCACGCCAAAGCAGGCAAGACATCAAAATGCATGTTTTCTTCAGAAAACAAGGAGCTTATTCGTCCCTAGTTACTTGTACTTGTTTTGTACTCGCATAGCTCACATCGTCATGTTTTTACAGGCTAAACTCATTGACCGGATTGCGGCTCGTGGTTTTTGGTCGAGTGGTAGGTTTCTGGAGTCTCGAATCGGCTCACACTGGAGGCCCCCTCCGAGGCGAGCGGAGATGGCAGTGCGGGGAGGCGAGTCACTGAGTCTGGCCGCGGCGGGCTACCGGGCCACCGGGCCACCGGGTTACCGGCGCGCGCCGCTCCCGTCGCGCCCGGTCGCGCCCGTGAGGTCATTGGAGAGGCCGCCTTCGTTGGCGCCACGAGGCCGAGTCCGAGGGTCCTTCGGTCCGAGATTCGGTCCGAGATTCGGTCCGAGATTCGGTCGGTCACACTCGAGGCTCTACCCTGCCAGAGTCACGGCCGACACTGTCTGCCTAGTGCAGGAGGGGGTCTTGTTCGTTGCGGAATGCCATGTGCCAATAGAATCGCAGGTGTTCAAGAAAGATGAGATCTTTCTGGCGATGATGGCTCGTGGTGGCAGAGACAAGGAGCTGCAGTTTTCTCAGATCGAGAGAATTGAGCACTCAGTTTGCGGTTTCTGCAAAATCAGGTTGGACATACTTGGAAAGGAGGCCTGGCCACCTACTCGCGCGAAGCAAGACGTGAGATAAGACAAAAGAACGAAAGACCAGGCCCAGCCCTACGGCATGACCCAAATGCGCAAGAGGAGCGGGCACGACATGGGACGCCGAAACCGAGAGCTTGGCTGCTTGGCTCAGGCTGCAGCGCAGCCTCTCCTTCCGCAATGCGCATGCAGCCTTCTCTGGTGCACTCGTCAGGTGAAACACACAACTGGGCTCGTTTGCGCGTTTGCGCAAGAGCACTCTACCGCAGGATCCCCGACGTGGTTCTCTTCGCGCCGAATTACACAATCACGGAGCAGGCATTGTGGTCAGCGCATTCAAGTCCAGAGGATGCGTTTGGCAGGGGGACGAGTGCAAGCTGGGTCAGAGCAGCTTCTATTTAGCTCGGGCCTCCTTTGGCCTTTGGGCACAGAGTTCAGTGCAGAAGTGCAGCCTGATTTGCTCGAGGTGTTGGCTGGCAGAGTCCGAGTAGAGGGCGCTGCCAGCGGCCGAGATAGGGCGCTTGCGTTCCGAAGACCCCACGAGTCGACGAGTGCAAGGTGGGCACTCTCTTCAGCACTGTGGGCGCTGGCCAGGCATTGTAATTCAGCTTTGTTTTCTTCCGATCACTGTCGCCGTTCACATTGCCCTCTGGTTGCCAGTCACTCGGTGTTTCAGGTAGGCATAGAAACTCGTGTTCACCAATTAAGATTCTCTACATTTGTGAATTGGGGACTTCAGACATGATGATGATGATGATGATGATGATGATGATGATGATGATGATGATGATGATGATGATGATGATGATGATGATGATGATGATGATGATGATGATGATGATGATGATGATGATGATGATGATGATGATGATGATGATGATGATGATGATGATGATGATGATGATGATGATGATGATGATGATGATGATGATGATAAGAATAATGACGATGATGATGATGATGATGATAATGATGACGATGATGAGGAGGAGGATGATCACGACGATGATGATGAGGATGATGATGAGGATGACGACGATGCTGACGACGATGATGATGATGATGATGATGATGACGATGCTCCTGAGGAGAGCACCAGCGCCACTGTATCACTGGATAAGAGCAGGACCGGGCAGCGCAGGAGGCCACAAGCCTCGCAGCGCTGGCTGGGCATCTTCACCTGGCTTGTTTGTTGCATCACCATGGCTACGCCGGCTGGCGGCGGAGGTGGAGTTCCGTTGACGGAGTTCAGGCGGGATCTTCCACCAGGTTGGGAGCCAGGGGACCCTAGCTACACGCTCGCCACGTGCTTCCAGCGGCTGCGTTTGTGGCACAGACAGAGAGAGGTGCCGGACGAGTGTGTTGGACCTATAGTTGCTGGCCGTTTAGGCCCGAGGGCACAACGCGCGGCTTTGGAGCTCAAGCTGGTCCGCCCGGACGGAATGGTCATCGGAGACGCGGCGCTGGTCAGGCTCAGCGTGGACGAGGTCAGGGATCCGGCTGATCCCACGCGGATCCTGCAGCACGCGATCCCGAGTGGGGCGCAGGCACTTTGCAATGCCACTTCGCACCGCCTTCGGGCAGACGGATGAGCAGCTCCTCACGAAGCCCCTCGAGGCTTTCTTTGAGTTCCGCAGGAAGGCCAGCATGACGCTCCAGGAGTACTCATTGGAATGGGATCTTTGGCTTGAAGAAGCCCAGGCGCGCGCTGGACTGGACATCAACGCTGTCGGCAGGAGCTTCCTGTGGCTGAAGCGCAGTGGCATGAGCCAGCGATTCTTCGATGACCTGAAGCTGCAAGTTCAGGGCGATCTGGCCAGGTTCGATGACATCAGGACGCTGGCATTGCGACTGGCTCATCGCACAACGACAGCAAAGGGAGTGTGACCTGGAGCAGTACGGCGATGAGTACGGTGGCTTCACCCAAGCAGATGCCATGTCCTACTGGTACGACGATGACGACTGGTGGAGCCCAGGCTACGCCGACTACTATGAGAACTATGACGAGGCCACAGACGATTGGTGGCCGGGACATCATCTTGGATGGATGCGGAGCCCAAGGACGCGGGTGCCTCCGAAGAGGACAACAACAAGATTTACGGCAAAGGTTTCAACAAAGGCAACTCTGGGTGTTTGTGGATCTCGATGGCGCCTCGCGGCAAACTGCCCCGTGAAGGACAGGCAAGGGCAAAGGCGGCTGGCGGCCCAAAGGCAAGGGCTATGGCTATCGCCCTAAAGGAAAGTTCAAAGGCAAGTCCAAGGGCAAGTCCAAAGGCAAGCGCAAGGGCAAGTTCGGTGGATCCCGATACTACGTCGAGACCCGTGAGACGAGGCAGGTACGACATGCTCGCGAAGGACCGAGCCTCAACACAACCATGCATTACAAGCCCTTTGACCGCAGCACCATCACGGCCATCAGCACAGCCTTTGCGACCTCAGCAATCACACAACAAGGCCTCACCTCTTGGTCAAGGCGAACACATGGAGGACCTTTTCAAGAACCGTCCTCAAGGAATTTCGGCATCATCGACAGACGCAGAGGCCGCCGCAACACCATCGTGGACCCAAGAACCTCAGCTTTTCCTTTCACGTCGGCGCCTACAAGACGTGTGAAGACGTGAGCCCGGAGATCTATCGCACAGTCGGAGGACAGCGTCGCAGGGGTCTCATTATTGATCCCGGCGCCGGAGCTGCCAACAGCCTGGTTGGCACCGAGACTCTCAGAGACCTCCCGGACAACTGCGCCCTCTCCGACGACAACAACAACCACGTCAGAGTCACCTGGAAGGAGAAGCAAGCTGAGGTCACCGGCATCTCGGTCACTCAGATCCCATCCTGGGACAAGTTCGGGTAACTTCCTATGCTCAAGGAGCTAGCTCTCCGAGGCGACCTACACCGCGGACGTCATCGGGGGCAACGCATCATTGTGTCCGGCGTTGGTCGGAAACCCTGAACTGGTGGGGCTGCAAGCAGCAATTGCATCCTCGTGGTTCACGAACACCGACGGGCTCCTGATCCTGCCCAGAGACAAGGAGATGAAGACCTACAACCTCTACCGGCTCTTGTTCACGGATTCGCGACACTATTTATTGCCGCTCGATGAGGCGAACCATGCCCTCATCAAGGACAGCCAAGAGGTCAACACCTTCCTCACCGCTGTGCAGGGCCAAGCAAGGGGCCAATGGCCGGACACGCGCTACAGTGTCTGGCATCTTGATGAGTCAGGCCCAGGACGGAAGCGGAGTGAAACGAGCACGAAGGCATCACCCAAGAAGGTTCACATCGGCGCAGGGGACTACAGCAGGGACGCCAACCAGGACACGGTTCAGAAGACGAAGGAGGCCATGTCCATCGACGAGTCTCCAGAGAGGGAAGATTACTGGGAAGTGGACTTCCGGGACGATGGACGTGTCTTCCTCACGCGAGTACACATCCTGACCAGGAACCGGTTCTTCCGGCCGACAGATGTGGAGCTTCCTCCCGGAATCAGCCTCCACTACGTCCGAAGTGAGCGACACACAGAACTACGACCCACAGCGCTCGCAACTGCAAGGAGCCGACAGCAAGGGCAGGCAGCGCACCACGATGCCTGCTGTCTACCCCAGAGGCTTCTGCAAGGCCATCGTTGCGGACATCAAGCGCTACGTCAACAGGATCAACTACAACAACCAAACTACAACATCTACTACAAGTGTGACAAATGTCGACTTGGCCGTGAAGCTCCTCCGGGCACTGAGCATAGTCTGGTGCCTCGAGAATGCCGTCATGCTTCATCCTTGCCAACACCTGCAACGGCATCTTCGATCAAGGTCACACGTGACCACATCACTGCCAGATCTGATCGAGCAGTTCAAGAGAGAAGCCATGCGACACCCCGCGCTCCACGACATCAAGCTTCAGATCAGCTATGAGATGCCCGCCATCGACACGCTCATGCTCAAGCTTCTGCTGATGAAGATTGTGGAAGAGAGTGTCAATGTCATCGAGGCGCACAAGCAGAAGTACCGCCGCTGGACGGAGGGTCCGGTCTACTTGGCGGTGGCGCCGAAGATCCTCAAGCGGGTCATTGACATCAAGGGCATTTGCTGCACCCGTCGCGCAGAAGAGTTGCCTCTACCAATGCCCTACTTGAGGACAGCTTCCGCACCGTGGCGATTGGTCTTCAAGGGCGAAATCAAGAGTTGGATCACGATGCAGACAGCCGGACACTGAGCCAACCCAGAACCAAGATCAGACATCCGGACACTGAGCCAACCCAGGACCAAGATCATGCACGACGGCTGGCTGATCGCGCAGGATCATTGGGATCTGGATGAGACAGCTGGCATACTTCGGCGACATCATGTGAAGCCCTGGAATGACATGTTTGTGCCGACCAGTACGTCATGCCCGGTGTCTTCAGAGCAGCTGATGGAAGAGCGCAAGACCATCGCCGATCCCTATGACAAGCAGGGAGCCAAGCTGGTTGTGAGTGACGTCTGGAACAAGAAGGACGCTTCGCGACAGCTGATGGGTGACGATCGCTGGACTGGAGTGACGGAGTTCAAGGTCTGTCAAAACAAGTCTGACGATGAGACTGAGAACGACCCCATCCAGCGAATGGCAGAAGAGTCTGAGCGCGCGCAGAATCAAGAAGAAGATGACGTCATCGATGACACGGCTGTTCAAGATGACACCGAACAAGGAGTCAGCAGGGCACCCATGAAACCTCTCTACGACTTCAGGCGAGTGCTGCGTCGGCTACCATGCCTGGCAGAACGTGACCGCCTACAGGCCGAACGCCTGCTTCTTGGTTTACATGAAAGGTTCTGGCATGCAGGAGTTGGTGACATGACCAACCTCTTGATCAGAGCCGGCAATGCAAAGTGTGCAGCCGGTTCACCAGGTTGCCGAATCGACCACAGGTCAAGACGGGTCACGTGACGACCTTCAACCAGGAGATCCAGGTGGACTTCTTCTTCCTCTGGGAGAGCACCTTTCTGCTCGTCGTTGACGTCGCCGCACGGTATAAGGCAGCGATCAAGGTTTCTGGCAGGGAATTGCGGACAACGCTCAAGGCCCTGCTGGTCAATTGGTTCCGGTGGTCTGGCCCTCCACGCACGATCACGTGCGATCAGGAAAGCTGCCTGATGTCACACGAGGCAGGAGCCGAGTTCGAGCGGCTCAACATCATGCAGGAGGAACCCATCTGGCACCACCAAGGGTACGGCGGCATCCAAGAAGACAGCCGCTGGCTTGGTTGAGAAGCACCTCGGCCTGACCAAACTTGTGATGACGAAGACCAAGGCAGTTGGAGAGACAGCACGCGCGCATCGACTACGCTGACATAGCCATGGAAGCTTCGATGGCGCAGAACCTGACTCTCAACTTGGGCGGCTACATGCCCCACATGTGCGTCACGGGAGCACTTCCTTTTCCATTCTATGATGTGGGCTCCATTGGCCTGCAGTCGATCCACAGCAACTCGGACCAACTCGCAGTCTCGGTCTACGAGCAAGCACTTCGACTACGACAAGCGGCACTGTGCTGCGACGCAGAGCATCATGGAGTCACGACTGGTGAGAGCGGGACGCACAAGACCTCAGCAGGCACCA